TGTCAAACGATTGATGCATGAAAAATGATACGACGTACGCCCACAAGATGCATGAAATGAAGAAGAGTAAAAATACCACGCTCTATATATGTATATGGAAACTAAAGCTTTTACACTTTAGAATAAATACGTACGTACTGTTCTATTTCGAGAGATCTTTTTAGGGATAAGCAGAAACACCAAATTAATGAGTATAGTATATATCGATATGAAAAAGGGTGAACAAAGAAATGGCTGAGCATTACCGTTACGTGATATTAAATTTCTAATTGGTTCGTCGCAACCGATACCGAAATGCCTACATACGTACATGCGAACACGCATGCATAGTAACACATGCATGCGTACATGCATAGTAACATTCGAATACGAAATTTTTTTATTTTTATTTTTTATAATAGGAGGGAACCTTTACCACTCAAACTTTTGTTGTTCAAAATCCTCCGAACCTTTTTTTAAAAATAATAATAATAATTTAGCAACGCATTATTCAGCAATAACATATTCAAAAAAAAATAATAATACTAATTTACCCCCAATCAACTTTGCTATTTCCGGATCCAATCCTTCACCCTCATTACCCTTATTGTCTGCAGCTGCATTTTTCTTTTCGTTTCTGTTTCTCCTCTTCTTCTTGCTGATGCATTGGTTCGACACGCGCCTCGAAATCATATTCTCTTTTGTTTTTTTTTTAGATGAGCCAGTCGTTTTTGTACTTGATCCAATGTACTATGCTCTACTTTCACTAGTGTTCTTTGATCTTTATGAAAAGGGAATAAAAAATTAAGTATTTTCATCATCCAATCTTTTATGTCCCTATCAATTGCAAGTACAATATAAACGACAAATCAATATCAAATAAGCTCACACGCATAGAACAAATACTCACGTTTTTTTCCATTAATGTGATCCAAATAATTGACACTATCCTTCACCACACAATCGCACACCTTACAATAATATCCTGGTTGTTTCGAGGCAATACTAGTACTTTGAACTAACTGGGTCATATTCAAGTTAGCATCGAACATAACTTTCTCTTCATCCAAAACATCGTCAGGTTTTAGATCTTTACGTTTTTTGCTCTTCCTCCTCTTCTAGCTGTTGTTCACGACGAGCACGATCTCGTGCACGCTGTTCGTACTCTCGTTTGTCCCAGGTACGGCGAAAGCTTGTGTGTCGTGCTGTTGTTGCAAGTGATAAAGGTTAGAAGAATGGAAGAGTTGAAAAAGAAGAAAGGTAATTTAAATGATGGTTACCGACTGTGTAGCATAGACTCCTTTCTATATCCAGATTTATTTCTGGTTTTCCGATAGTAGTCTGAATATTCAGAACCAACCTGATTACGTGCCAAAATGCCCGTACCCGATAAAAAACGCACTCACTACAATGATTTATAAATCAGTGTTTGATCAATGTTTTATTTAAAACTTTGAAATTATGGTAACGATAAATAAACGTGGGAGTTAATTTCTGCGTCCAGTACAGATTGTGTGATTAGAATTTCTATTTTATTGTTATCATTATATTAAAAGAGTGCTTATGTAGTGTAAAAGTGCTCCAATGAATTATACATGTATATAGATAAGCTGGTTTTATTGTCCAATGCCATAAAAGTGCAGTAATATTGATAGATCATTTCACTAAATCATAACTAACCTCCATTTTGTATGTGTTTTGTGTTATAGAACTCCCATTCGTGTGTGTGAATCAATTCTGCGTTAAATTGTATTTGATATATTAAAAGAAGAGACTTTATTATTCCAATAAATCAGACATGATATTAAATTTAATTGAAAAATGCAGGTAAGTGTTTATATCGAAGTTAACTTTGATAATGTAAACTCAGAATTTCTAGTCTAACGTGTTGCTATTAATTTATCCGAACTCATTTACCCGACATGATTTTTCCCCGAATGGAGATTTCCCTGACAAGAGATATTGTGATATAATGTATTAACTGGCTGGTTTTGCATGGAATTAAC